AAAAGGACATATTCGGTCAGACTTAAAATGGAAAAAAAGTGAATAATTTTTCCGACTAGTCCTTTACCAGTCTCGTCTAAATTTGCTCTATCAGCTTTTGGAAATATTAAAATAAATGTTACAGTGATAGCCCTCTGTAGTCAAATATCAGCCCCTCCCCCTTCTTAAATACATGTAACGTTACTACAGATCTGATAGGAGGTCATTAGTTATGCGACCTCTGTGTGACCTTAGGACACTCCCCCAGGACAAAACTGTAGTCAGGAGATCACGTCCTCCAAGCCTCTGGCCTGGCTTAGGCCTAGGGTAGTCCATGGTAGTTAGCGACAATATTGAGTAGGTGGTAACTCTGGAGGACGGGTACCCAGGCTGCTCCACGACTCAAGAACTCAGTATACGTACATGCGTACCGTGAGCGTCGATTCCTGAATTCCGGAAAAAGCCAGCATGTTCTAGCTTTAATTTTCGCAGTATACGTCGCTATGTACTGCCGCAAATTCACAATACCAGCTTTGTATTCCTGTGGTTTAGTAGCATTTTTATTTTTGGCCGGAATTTTTTTCCCCCGCGCGCACTAGTTTAGGGGTTCTTCAGAGGATGTCATCCATAAATTTAACTCGGTGTGGCCTTCAATGATCAAGAAAACATACAGGCAAGACCGTCTGTTTCTGCGTTCTTTTCAATAGTTTTTCTGTGTACGTAATTTTTCTTTCTGTGTCAATTTTCATTCTGTGTAAGTCTCCATATCCCTTGACATTAAAATCCTCTCACGCAGAGCATTCTACTCCGTTTACGCCCAAACAACTACACTAAGCACCCTCCCCACGGGGCATTAGTCACCAATGAGATGTCTATATTTAGAACGTCTCGACTCAGTTGGCTTCACACCGATATAAGGTTTTACCTGTGTGTGCAAGGACGCTTAACACCTGTGTCAGCAACTCTGTTTAGATTCTACACTGCTTAGAATGAATACGAGACCTGATAGACAAATAAAGAAAATAAAAATATAAATAAGATGATGCATTTGCTACATGGAAACTCCTCCGATAACATAAGAACGTTCTGCGCTTGCACGAAACCCAGCTTTTGTCAAGGGTTTCGTTGGATGTTTGGTCAACGTTGCATCAGAATTTTGCCCGTTGCAGACGATATCTTTTTCGACTCAACATTTGGAAACTATAGATGGGATGTCATCCTTATATACTCGAATACGACCTTAAACAAGACATTTTGCCAAAGCGCTATGCGAATCACATATAGATGGAAGCAAGAAGCAAGCAAATATGGGTGGCGGTCAAATCGTGCGGAAACGTGTATTCTGCATGGTATTTTAGAATGCTATTTATCATCGTCAAAAAGTGTGTAGAGCCGCGTAATATACGCCTACTATCCGGAAGAACTAGGTCATGCAATTTCACTCTCTTGTGTTCTCTTCGCTTTCTTAGAGTCACGTCATTCAACACGGTTTAACGCTTCCCCTGATTGCGCTGACCCCGCGCCAAACGTGCGAGATATGATTGATACGTCCATTTAACTACCAAGCAGATCTTTTGTTGGTTGCAAGACAGTATCAAATTGGCAGGGCAGTATCCATTCGCCACCCGAAGTTTGGCTGGCCAAAAAAGCTTCATCTAATCATTTCTAGGTCTCATCAAGGCCTACCCTCCTACGAAGTTTCACGACAATGCATATAAATCTTCACAAACAGTGTTTGCTGTTCACAAACAAACAAACAAACAAACAAACAAACAAACAAGCAAACAAGCAAACAGACAAACAGACGGACAAACGCCACTGAAAATATAACCTTCTTGGCGAAGGTTATAACGATGCACTGTGAATTAAGATCCTTGACACCCCCCCCCCTGGAGCTCTTAAAAAGCGGTTTAGACCGAAGAGCATACGTTGTGCGGTTCAAGGTTTGGTTAAGGTTTAAAAAGAAGATAAAAACGCTTAAAACGCGTAAAAAAAATAATAAACCGAAGCCTTAACTTCTGCTTCGAGAGTATGGTCCATTCCACTACTAGTAACCATGAAAGTGTCCATGAAACACATACACGACTGTATATTCATCGTAGTTGGTTCCCATATCTGAATGTTAAGGGCCGTTCCCTAACGCATATTCACGCAGTGAACCATGGTTTGTGACACGCGTTTAAAAGACTGCAAAACAAACTGAAATTCGATGAATGTCGCCAGGGCGGGGGTAAAAGGTTTTGTCCAAAACAAGACGCGTGCCTCCAGGCAGACGAACTCAAGACCACGATGTTCTGTTTTGTACACTTTACATGGCATACCGCAAGCACAAATCATCTTGTCGCAAGATCAGAGGTAGCAGGCAAAAAAGAGAACACCTGTTCAGAAATGTTCTATTCTCCTTCTAATGGTTTAATTCAACATCGATTGCATTTAAAGGAAATTCATTGTATTCCATGTACCTTTTGTATATTGTATATTTGTATATTTGTTATTTTCCTGAATACAATTATTGGGAGGAAAGAAAAGGAAATTCATATAAAGGTCGGAAAAGTATTAGAATGAAACATGGCGTTGTGGTGTTTCAGTCTCTAATATTTCTTCTTAAATGCTACGAATGGTTACTTTGCCTCACACAATGGCCCATCGTATTTCTTAAGTCATTCTGATCATAATTTATAGTCTAATTGACATATCAACAGTATCAATAAGCAACACATAAACTTAGAATTACAATTAAAGGAAAAAAGCTTTTTCCATGATCCAGTATCTTAGAAATGAAAAAAATATCATCTGAATATAAAGATTGCTTCAAATTCAATGTATATGCATCTAGACGATATGCCAGTTGCCCTAGTACGATATATGATGCGTATTTCGTTCTAAAGGAGGCCTACCAATTATTTGCACCATACACAACACGATTGTCCTGCCGTATACAAGTCATGTAGAACTAATAAATCACTTTAGATTTATTGCTTGAGAGTCTAGCTCAATATACACGATACAATTTAGATTGTACACAGATTCTGACTTCAATTCATTGGACAAAATTGGATCGAAAGAGGTCATTGGCTTTCCAACTGACCTTGTTTATCCTGATTTATCAGCTTATATGGGAACGTGGGTAAACGAAGAGTGGGTAGAAATCTGTGCCAATCTCTCGTTGCGTCCTTGTAACACGTCTGTTTATGGACCCTGCTTTTTAAAACATTAACTACCATGAATAGACGGCATATCGCTTGTTACGTGACCCGTGGTGGTGTAAAACATTCACCACTTAACAACGATCATAGTCCGGAATTGGAGGGGAAATTAAGAGACAGAATTTATTGCGACAACGTAAACTGTGCTCTGAAGTAACTCCTGTCTTACGACAATGAAAATCTCTTGTTTGTGAAGTGCGAATATTTGTACTTTGCAAGCCGTCACAAGAGCAAAGAAATAAAACGACGCCCCATTCGAGAAAATCTTTGAGAGAAATGCTGAAGTTTTTCTTTTATTTTCTCACTAATACACTATTCTGTATTCATCACTAAAAACATATAATGTACTTTAGCATCTTATGCATATGTCATATATAGGGGACATGAAAAACCGGCCAAAGTCATAGAATGTTACACATTTGCATTGCACTTTTCTAAGCATTTGATCACAGCTATGTCGTACGGGTACATGTACAGTGTAGCATATTTTCTTCGGTAGAAACTATGTGCAACCGTGTCAGTTGTCTGTTGCTAATGGTTAGAATCCCTTTCACCACAGAAGTTAAACAGTGCCCTACACAAATTGATAAATGTATACAGCCCCAGACCACACAATGTAGCCGGGCTTTGCAAAGGAAACAACAAGCGTTGTTCGGTCTGTCTGTTCTGATCAGGTGTCAAGAGGTCTTATATTACACCGTTACACGTACATGTACCCTCCACATTTGTAGTATCCAGACAAAAGAGGATTGTACAATCTGAGTAAAAGATAGAAAGGACACCTTGCATAAGATAGAAATGAAAGAGTCAGATACAGTATAATTATATCTTCCAAAACAGGCTAGTTTAGCTTTTAAGAGCTGAAAATGAACTCAAAAGGGATAAAATACTGCGTCTCAAACGCGTTCTCAGTATCAACGAAGGTGAGATACTGACTTGTTTGTTGACTGTTTCAGTAGTTATCATTAACTGTATGCGTTCGCATTCGTGTTGTTGTTCTTATGGCTCTCATTACAGTCGAGCTAACGATATGCGTCATTAGTTCCAAGACGTTACGCAGTAATTTGATATTGAGCATGCTATGGATGCACCTCGATGCCCCGGTGCGTTTCTCATAATATCCCCCGTGTGCCTAGATCTTAGTCTCTACCAGACTAGCTACGTACGCTGGCTCTATATAGAAAAATATTTGCCAGGGGAGTTTGGCCGCGCGCCTTGTAGGTTTGACTGGGAAAGAAACTACCTCTCCGCGGCCGGACTCCCTTGGCCAATGTTACTCTATTTTTTTGCCGAATTCTACGATCCTTATTCCCGAAGGAAGGCCTGGCGGAGGCTACCTAGACCTGGCCCTTGTGCCGAGGTGACTTATACATTATACATCAAATCATTGTGTACATTTTAGTACAAAATCAATAATGACGACGATGTTCGTCCTGTATATAAGGTCAGAGGTGTTGGAAAACACAGTTGTGATTTTGCAGTCGTTATTGAACCCTACAACCCGGCACTTCTGCGATGTACGGAATGTAATCATGATGTTACAGATTTCAGACATATGAAAAACATGCCCCAATGTTTACTCACCAAAGTCTATCTCAATGTTCAAAATGAAACGATACAGTTGAGAATTGGTAATTTTGCTGCACATATGCTTTAGAACATGTCCACTAGGTGTTACGTTAACATGGTATTATGCTTACTTCGCAAGAGTTCGTAATGTGCTGTAACAGGTGTGTGTATACATGCGTGCGTTACCGTATACCAGGGCAGGGAGTTGTAGCGTATAGTCCACCCAGAACACAGGAAATAACCTACCTTCCAAGAGCACAGAGACCACGATGAACGCCAAGAGAAGCCTTGCCTCCATGGTCCACCGGTAGCGGGAGCTGTCAGGACGCCAGGCGGGTGGACATAGCTACGATGACCGGCCTACCAGACTCCCGTGCCCGCCATGTGTCTACACGAGTACGCCCCAGCCTGGACGTGTAGTGGGCAACCTGTTTTGTCAGCCGCTAAGTCACGTGACGTAGGAGATAGGGGAGCTTCATTGTTAATGTGTACTGGCCTCCACCAGGCCTTTCTACGGGAATACGGATCGTAGAATTCGGCGAAAAAGGGAGTAAAATTGGCCCAGGGAGTCCGGCTGCGGGGAGGTAGCTTTATATAGTTTCTTTCCCTGCAGTCAAACCTACAAGGCGGCCAAACTCCCCTGGCAAATATTCTCCTATATATAGCCAGCGCACTTAGTCTGGTAGAGACTAAGTGTGTACATGCTTAGCAGGGTAAATATGCAAGTATTAGCCTCCTCTGTTAATTACTTAGTTACTTTTTGAGGGGCAGCGTCGATATGGGCTACGTTTGCCGCGGAGAGAGTTCCACCGTAGCGCATTTCAGCGCTACGCCCCCAAAAATTAACGCCGCCGCCGCTCAAGCCTGCGAAGGAGGCTACCCCAGTCAGTAGCTTATTTGGGATCAGTGGCGGTGATAGCACAAACAGCAGGAAAGTGCAAAGAATGTAAATACTGCAAAGGCGATTACAACTACATTGTATTTGTCATCCAGGGATCTCTCCTTTTTATGTGTCGACCTATATCCTATACTGGGCAGCTCTGGGTCAGTTGTGACGTACTTGGTTTGGGTATCAGACACGGAAATATCATTTAGCATAAAAGCAGACCCAGGTACTAAATGGGGCAGATGGAATTATTGATCGATATCTTGAAGAACTACAGTTGTGTCCAAGGGTGTATTAGCTCTATGAATATGCTAAACTTGTTCTGTTTCTGACCTACATGCACAGATTCCAGGCGACAATGCGACATCTAGCGACAAAGAGAAGAAGTTCATTTTGTCGTAGAAAGTGGTATTTGGGTTCAGCTATGTATCAGCTATATATCAGAGGAATTCTACCACATGCCCACTCCCCAACCCATTCATAATTCCGTCAATGAACATTACAATACTGCAAGGGTGGCCCGGTATATAATACTTTTTTTAGCAAAAAATGCAACTGGGTAATAATACAAAGCAACAGAGATCACGTTATGAAATCGTCGGGCACCAAATGCGTCCTTTAGAATTACAGTCTCAGGCAAAGATGAAAATTAAAAAAAAAATACATTCCAATCATTGGAAATCGACTATCTCATTTCAGCCCAGGTTGTAGGGGTGATTTCTGACGTTGTGCCGGCACGGTGTGTGTGTGATACCGGCAACAGAACAGCCCCTACCGCGGCTCAACAACCTCTAACTAGTCGACGCGGGCATACGCCAGCTAATGAACCATTGGTAATTGCAGAATATTCGATATTGTGATTTAGATAAGATAGAAGAGTGTCATTTTGTTGTAGATTGCTCTTTATACAATAGCGAGCGAAATATTCTTTTTAACTGTATTCAAAATAAGTTTCCTAGTTTTAAATATTTGAATAGTTTAGACAAATTTATATATCTTATGAAATTAGACAAGCCGTGTTTTGTAAGTTCTATATGTTCATTCATCTACAATTGTTTTAAGAAGCGAGAAGAAGTCGATCCTGTAAACAATAGTATTATTAGTTTGTCTTCATGACCTGTACTTAGCTCGAAAGAGCATAATGTGCAATAAAGGTCTTTCATTCATTCATTCAATATTGTCATAGTAAGCCCTGAATAGGTTACGTTGAATTAAGCCCACAGGTCGCCCTGAATTTTATCTTCGAAGTCGACCCAGTTTTTCTCGGCACATCATACAACATCCGTCGCTTTTAATTAAGATCAATAGGGTCATAACCACACATGATGAAAGGACATAGAATACTAGTAATCTCGCGCTTTATGATACATTATGGTCACAGAGGTATGTAATTACATGTGATGTCCATGATATGCCATCCGCCATCTCGGCACCAATATCGTTTTCTATTTTTATTATTATTATATATATGACCTTTGTACTGTTTTCTACGTCTGTTATGTACTTTGAAGGGTTCCATAAACATTGGAAGTCAGCGAAAGTTACGAAATTTGCCAACGCGATTCAATTCACAAGAATTCTAGTACATGTACGTATTACTAATTATCTGTGGCTATTCTTTAAGCAGGCTTAATTTTCGGATCTGTATGTATCATGAAGACGTATTTTTAATACCTGTTTTGTTGCTTATGTCTTCCTACTACTATCTTACATCACTTTTGTACTGATTTGGTTAATCATCCCTCTTCTGTTACCTAGTTGATATTCTATAGCTAAGTTGATTCTTATATCTATTTGAATTAATTGTTCTGATATTGTATGAACATCTATCTATTGTACTATCTATTGTTTTATTGTTATGTCTGTATGGTGGCCTTAAAAAGATGTTCCTGAACACTTGTTCCACCATACCATCTACGTACAAACTGTTATGAATAAACATAAATAGATAAACAATTATTCTGTAAGGTTCCTTGTCCCTACCGCTTGATTATAGCACACTACTGTGTGATACTAAGCCTTCAAATCATCGATCACGTTGTATAATCCTATTAACCCTTCACCCTAATCCCATCTCAAGACCACTTTTAGTCCATCTGTCCCTGCGAGCACCTTTAATCTATGTATCACAGACCTTTCCACAGAGACCACTCTGCCAATTTCAATTAACCTTTTAACCTAAACCCATTGTAGGACCGTCTTCAGTTTATTCTTGAAGAGACGTCTTCGATTTTGGGAAGGGGGGGGGGTGATCTTAGAAGGAGGCTAGCGGTGAACATGTCTGACTTTGAGTTAAATTTGACCCCAAACACCAGCCAACCACTAGTATAGCCAAACGTTAACCTACCCTCCACATTTTATAATTCGGGTAGAGCTGTCGCACAGTTGCCGACTTGGCCGAACACCAGCCGACCTTGCTCCCGACCATATGGTTTAAACATTTGGTTTTGGTTTTTATTGTCCAAACAGTACCCGTGCAGTCGCAGCCTGTATACGGCAGGGTATCACATAATAATCAATACAAATCACAACAATTACAACAATCAAATAATATACATGATACACATATTTGTTCCACAATTATTTTTTGTGGAACTGTCGCAAGGGTCTGTGCGGCTGCCATTCGGCGCCACAAGGTGACCTCAATACGACTTTCCCCAACCGAAGTTAGGTACCCATTCACACCTGGGTGGAGTGTGGAAAGTGGTGTAAAATGCCTTTCCCAAGGGCACAACGTCGGGGCGCATGTTCAGACATGTCCTGGGTACGACTCGGAATCGAACCCGGGTCTCCCCGGTTCATAGTCGATTGCTCTAACCACTACACCACCCGACGCCACTGGTTGGAAGTTCGGCAGTGTACGGGAGGCCATATTCGGCTATGTGTTATGGGGACTTTCCTACACATTATAAGCTAGTAATCATGTACACTACACACATCATTAACCACTTAGGCCTAGGTCTACGCTTTCAGTAACTGGAAGCATCACCATCGAATTTGGTAAACACAGATCGAAGCCATAGACTTTTATTTGTAGAACATCTTAATAGTACAACTTTGTAATATGTACAGTCCAAAATATATTACGGATTTTAATATAAACGACGTAATATTTACATTCGTTCATTCAAAGAAGCTTTGTCAACTTCTTATATATAAAATATAAATATATAAATAAAAATAACATTAAATTAAATAAAATTTTACGGAGAAATGAATGATGAATGATAACCATGCATGCATGTACATCAATGGATGAAAATAACATATTCCAAAAATACCTTATGATAGTAAAGGTATTATAGTCAAAATATAAGAGTGAATAGGGTATCATTTTTGATAACACAACACTTTTGGTACAAAACAACGCATCACGAATGTAAAATTATTTTACAAGAGTACAGAACACATTGTGAATACTGTAGTAACGTTACTAGCGAACACAAACGTCGCTCGCGTGTCTTTCTTCAATAACAGAAGTAATGAATACATAGTAAGTATTGTACTCAGATGTCACACCAGCTCTGGTCTGGGCTCCGTCTTTCCGCATTTCCTGTAGAGAACAAAAAATACATGATGTAACTATGATGTATGAATCATAGTGAAGTTATACATCGTCAAACATTTGACAATGGTGCAGTTCCTTTATTTTGCAACACTTATTGATATTTAGAGCATCCACGTGGCGCCACCTGTTAAATTGTATGAAAAGTGTAGCATTTGGCCCCAGAACGTACGGGATATAATGTATGAGTCACAATGAGGTTAAATATCGTCAAACATTTAGCAATGGTCCTTTATTTTGCAACATTGTTGATATTTAGAGCATTCGCATGGCGCCACCTGTTAAAATGTACAAAAAGTGCAGCATTTACCCCCTCAGTAAATTTTTTTCATTGACCGTTCCCAGGCATTAACTGAACTGGTGAACGATACATACTATCAATCAATTGCTCTTTAAACCATGTAAAGCTGTGGTCACAGTTCAAGGAAACTAGCATAGACAAAAGCGGAGTCCTCGCAAAGCGAAACGGCGACACCCTCAGACATACCGGCGCCTGGGTCTTCCCCCCTCTCACTGGTAATGCGATATCCTTTTAATAGCGCCTAATCCAGCTAGCCTCTTCCAGGCTTCGGGAGGCGGCTGGGAAGAGTAGAAATTGAAAAACTAGAGAGATAACATGCCGGGAGAGTTGAAGCAAATTGTACTTTTCTAGCGGACCAACTTCCTCGGCATGATATCTCTCAATTTCTACTCTTCCAACCGCTTCCTGAAGCCTGGTAGAGGCTATAATCAAGCCAGAATGGCTGCATTTTGTATTAGCGATTCTACTTAGTATCTGGCTATTTAACACAACCGTCGATTGGCAAGAACAACGACTTCTAGAATACAAATACACACGTACATATCTAGACTGATGATAAAATGTGTACATTATACCCTACCTGTAAATGATGCACCCCATTCCCAGCACCAGTAGTGCGACCAGGGCTCCCCCCAGAGCGGACACGATGATGTAAATGTCCCATAACTCCAGTTGCGAGGCTTCTTGCAGGGCCAGGATGTTTGGTCTGTCGCACCGCTCTCCCATGTACTCCAAGGGACAACTGTGGGTCCAACAACGACGTTTTGAAAGTGTACAAACTTCACACATTATACTATAATGGTTCATACACCTTCCAACAAAAGTTCTTGAAATACTACAAATACATATGCTCACCCTCACCATGAAATTCGCACAACATGGTGCTATTATATATTTTTTTCATTTACTATGGGCACAGTTTTAAGTATTATGACCTCTAAGTCTAATATTTTGCGAAGCGGAGCATAGAAGTGTTAGGATGTGGTCAAACATATGAAAAAATGTTGAATAGTATTATCATAGGAAATTAATCAATCTCACTACATATACCTACTGCGTTCTATATGGTATACACAGGAGAGTTTGGGACACACGAGGCAAGAAGGTCATTGATAATTTACTCTATAGCAATTATCATTAATTCATGGTTCTGAAGAATCTGTTCCCAGCCTTCAGTGGAACTTCGCACTACGCACTTGGGCAATGGCCGCCATCTTGAAATGGCGGTCACTTTGACCTTAACTAAAGCTCCTGTCACACATTCAGAACCAAGCGAATAGGAGGGATTCCTTACCTGCATCTGGGTCTGCTTATACCCGGGATTCTCTCACACTCTCCGCCGTTCAGACAGAAGCCGTCATACTCCGGACCGCACGGCACACCCTGGGATGTTAGCTCCAGCGGTACGGGGTCTGAGGGGGAGAGTCAAGAGCAAAAGTCAAGATCAGTTGAACGATAAATGACACAGAAATTACGACAAAAATCAGACAAGCTCAGTAATTTTTTTCTTTCCAAATGCAACGCAAACGCTCGTCTGATATCTATTCCACACTAAAGACTATGAAAATGTGATCTTTTGTGACACAAAGAAAGAAATGAACATTATGTACTTACATGTGCCTTGTGAAAATGCCGGGATGGCAGACAGGCAGATCACGAAGCAAAACTGCAAAAGGCGCCGTGCGAGGAGAGAAGTTGTCATCTTGCCTGGTATTTTACCGTCAGAGTAGTGTCGACAGGGATACAAGTAAACTTTAGTGACAGGTACAGGAAATATCTGGCTTGCCTGGCTATGCGCTTCTGTCGACCAAGTGCTGTTTGTTGTCAACTTTTACTCCCTTATAAACGGTCCAGGATCGGATCATCGTCTTAAAACTTGCGACATTCCGGTGGAGTTGTTCATCAGAGTCTGTGAATAGACCGGTTCCGCCCCCTCCTCTTTGCGTCACGGCACGGGACGTCCCACGTTCTGGGAACAAACAACGGAAATCCCCGTGTAACCCTTGACTCTGCCCCGTGAGTTCACCCCCGGGCTTGGCTCTGTTCCGGTGGGAATGTTGTCAATCCTTTCAACCCCTAGGTATACTCTACTCTCCAAGCAGAGGTTTGGTTTGGGGCTATTTTTGGCGTGTTTTTAGGCTTTTTTACCAG